AGTGGTGGGCTGCATAATTAGGAACATGAGGGGAAGGGGCCCTACCATGGGCAATGTCCTCTCTGACACCTGCAATAAATGGCATTGTTCTGGTAGTAAGGCATGGTGGAAGAGGGGAATGCCTGGGGCAGATCCTATAATCACCTCAGAAAGCACCTAAAGGGAAGCCAGCATGAATACCTTGGAAGCTTTGATTGCATAAAGAATACAGAGAAAAGAGGGAGACCAGATAATTACCGGGGTCGTGAATCAGAGAACAAAGGTCTACAGAAGACAGAAAAAGAGAATAGATGTTATTGACATCATGGGTGCTGCCTTGACTTTCAAGTAAATTGGATTTAGGTGAGACAGAGTTGCACAAAGTCCTCAGCCTCACTCTTTCTTCCTGAGTCATCAAGTCCAGTGACAAGACAAAAGTCAAGATGACTGGCAATGGCCTAGGATGCAGTGGATGACCCTGGTGTCTTCAATGTCTGACGAAGCGCTAAGCACCCCACAGCACCTGCTTTAGACACCTTCATGGCTGTTGGAACAAATTGTTCTCATATCAGATAACGAAGAGAGTGAGAGAAGTTCTTTTTTGGAAAGGGGTAAAAAAATAAAAATAAAAAAGCTAATGAATAGGATTCGTTGAAGGGGAAGAGAGGAAAGGGGAATCTTTAACTGAGAGGAAAAAAGAGAGAGGAAGAATTATATAACCAGGTAAAAGCAGGAGGAAAAAAGAACTAATAAACAAAACCCCAAAGGGAAAGCAGGAACAAATGAGAAGAAGGAATGAGGACTGAGGGGAAGAGAGGAAGTGGGAACAGGACCAATTTAAAAAAAGATTAAAGTAAAGTAAATGAAGGAACATAATACTGTTTATACAGCAGAAAAGGGAAAAATCATAACTTGAAAAGGAGAGAGAGGGAGGAGGAAGAACAGGAGAAAGGTGGAAAAGATAAAAGAAGGAAAGCAGGAAAAGGAAGAGAGGCAGGAAGAGAAGGGGAAAAGGGAAAGAGAAGAGGGAGAGAGGGAGAAAGGGAGAAAAGGGAGAGAAAGATAGAGAGGAGATAGGAAAAGAAAAGTTTAAGGAAGAGAAAGAAGAGAGGGAGGGGAAATGAGAGAGAAAAAAAATGAGGGAGAGACAGAGAGGGAAAGAGTGAGAGGTAGAGGGGGAGAGAAAAGATTAGCATTGCAAGAACATCTGATTGCTTCCAAATGTTCCTTCCTTGAAATATTTATTCTAGAATAGAGAGTTATTAAAAAGATAGGATGTAACAATCATTGAGTTAGAAGGGACCTACTCTAGTTCAGTCTCCTCTCTCTAGGGTAGAAGCTCAGGCTAGATGATCCTTTATTCTTAGAGTTGGGCCATAACAGGGTATTCCAAAAGTTTCTAGTGCAGTTCTAAGGTTTAGCAGACACCCTGCACATTGATTTAAGAAACCTAGGTGAGCAAGTGCCCTGTGCTCCAGGGGTTCCAGTAAAATGAAAATTGAATAGCTAATTTGATTTAGCTCCATTCTCTACTCTCTTTTCCTCTCACTTTAGAATTAACTCTGGGAAGGCAACTTCTTGGAACCAAAATGACATTGGGGAAATGGTACCTATAAGACAGAAGCAAGTCTCTCTGCTTCTAAAGCATCAGACAAGATGTGGTTGTAACATCTGAGTTGTTATCCTGGTCTCATACCACATAAACAATATGAAGCATCTATGACTTGGACTGTAGTTTAGGAGGATTATTTGGACCGCCTCATTTTGGAAGTGACTATAGAGGATAGCAAAAGAGTTGGAAAACAGAACCTAGAGAGAAAGATTAAGGCAATTAGGATGACTTGATAACTTTTTTTTAAAAAGCATATGGAAATACTTGGGTAATCCCTGCTTCTGAGGAGGCTGAGGTTGGTGGATGGCTTGAACTCAGGAATTTTGAACTATAGGAGGCCTAAAACTGATTGAATGTGCATGCTAAGTCTGGTGCAAACATGGTGAGCCCTGGGAAATTGGAGTGCCCTAAGGCTGCCCAAGTAGGAGCAAACTGGCCCAAACTGGAAATGGAACAGGTCAAAGCTTCTGTGGAATTCAGCAGTGGGATTGGCCCATGAGTGGCTTCTGAACTTTTAGCTTGGGCTATATAGGGAGACCCAGTCTAAGAAAAGTAAAATATATGAAAGATGGCTGTGACGTACTCTAAAGAACAATGGATTTGAAATCTAATGACCAGGGTTGGAGTTACAGGTCTTCTACGTTATAGTCTTGTGACTTTGAGCAAATCACTTGACCTGTCTGAGCATCGGTAAAATGGGGATAATAATACCTAGCCTGTCTACCTCAAGGAGTTATTGTGAGGCTCACATGGGATAACCTACGTAAAGTACTTTGTAAACTAAAAAGCACTCACTATAAAAATGCCAGTTTTTATTAAAAAGGTTCCAGTCCTTACAGGGCAGTGAACAAAAGAAAATGGGCTGGCATTTCAGCAAGAAAGTGAGCAAGAACCTAAAGCTGGGGTTGTTCAAAGATGCAACAATTCTGTTCCCCCTTGGAAATCTGTCACGATAGCACGAATAGTGAGCATCCTTCCATCTCCATCAGTACTGAGTCCTTTGTACCTGAGCAATAGTTGAGTAAACTGGTTGCCTTAAGAGAGGCGTTGCATCTAGGAATAAGGAGATGAGAATCCCTCTGAATTCTGGGCCCGCTATTTTAGGGAGGACATTGATAAACTGGAGGTCAATACAGCAAGACAAACGGAATGGTGACAGGCCTCATGCCCATGCTATACGAGGAATGGCTGGAGGAACTAGGGATGTTTAGTCTGAGAAGGGTATGTAATAGGTATCATGGACTATTTGGAGTGCTGTCATGCAGTAGAGACATGTTCTACTTGGTGCCAGAACTAGAAGCAAAGGATGGAAGTTGTAATGAGGTAAATTTAGGCTTCAGGTAAGGCAGAAAAAACCCCACAAACTTCTCAACAATTAGAACTATCCATAATGGAAAGGGATCTCTCAGGAATTGGTGAGTTCTCTTATGCTTAAAAGGCAGCAAGGTGGCACCAGGGATAGAGCGCAGTACTTGAAGACTTGTTCTCCTGAGTTCAAATACGGCCTCAGAAACTTACTACCTCTTTGACTTTGGGCAAGTCACTTAACCCTGTTTGCCTCAGTTTCTTCATCTATAAAATGAGCTGGAAAAAGAAATGGCAAACCACTCCTATATCTTTGCTAAGAAAACCTCAAATGGGGTCACAAAGAGTCAGACATGACGGAAATCACTGAACAACTGAAACCACTGAAACACAGTCTTCAAGCAAAGGTTGGATAACCACTTGTTGGGCAGGTTGTAGATAGTATCCTTTTTCAGGTGTAGTTTGGTCCAGATGGCCCCTGAAATTCAGTGATCCCCAAATATTTTTCTGAGCACTTACTACATCTGACATTGTGCTAGGTTCTACGGAATGATACCAAAGAATAAAAGCTACATTCCTGTTCTTAAAGAGTTTACAATCTAGTTATAGATATGACAGAGATGTGAAAAAATAATTCATAATTCAAGGAGATATCTGGCTAAGTACTCTATGGGGGCACTTGTATAAATTCCTGAGACGTTCCAAGGTGAGTGAACTCTTGCTTGGGAGATCAGAGAAGGTTTCACAGCAAAAAGAGGGCTTCAGCTGGGTCTTAGAGGACAGGAACCAGTCCAGTTAACTGAGAAGAGTTTGGATGGCAGGTGAATAGTTCACATACAGAGGTCAAGGCAGAAGTTGTATTGGAGAAATCAGGAGCAGATTAATTCCTCCAGCTAATATTCTCTCCCATTGTACTGAAATTGAATATATTTGGTACTGACTCCTCTGTGTACACACTATTCCTCCCAGCACAAGGTAAGCTCCTTGAGGGCAAGGGGTGTTTTGTGTTTGTATCCCTAGTGCCTCAGAGGCATACAATGTATGGAGTACAGGAAACAATTAAAGGCTTCTCGAGTGAACTTAACAACAATAATAATATTTTATATAGCTCTTCAAGTTTGCAGATGCTATCTCATTTGAACCTCACACAACTGTGATGGAAGTGTCATTGTTGTTTAGTATTCAGTCCTGTCTGACTCTTCATGACCCCATTTGGGGTTTTCTTGGCAAAGATACTGTAGTGGTTTACCATTTTCTTCTCTAGCTCATTTTACAGATAAGGAAACTGAGGAAAAAAAGGAAAAAGAAAAAAAGAAATTTACATGATAACTCTCTTACACATTTAAAAGGAATAGCAAGTTGTACATAATAGATTTGTAGTCTCATATGTAATTATCTTTTTTATTATATCATGGAAATGCTTGTTTTGTTTCATAAATTAAAAAGTAAAAAAAAATTTTAAATAAAATAAAAAAAGAAATGGAGGCAAACAGAGTTCAAAGAACTCTGCCCAGGTCCACACAGCTAGTAAGTGTCTGAGGCTGTATTTGAAATCAGGCCCTACTGGCTTCACTACTGACACTCTATCCACTTCGCCACTTAGCTGCCCTGGTGTTATTATTACTTCTGTTTTATGGTCGAGGAAACTGAGACAGAAAGAGGTTAAGTGACTTGCCCAGAATCACATTGTAAGTGTCTGGAGGCAGGATTTGTATTCAGGTTTACCTGATTTGGAGGCAGTTAGGTGGCTCGATGGTTAGGGTGGTGGGCCTGGACTCAGAAAGACATGAGTTTAAATCCAGACTCAGAAATTTACTAGCTATGTGACCCTGGACAAGTCACTTAACCTTATTTGCTTCAGTTTCTTCATCTGTAAAATGAGCTGGAGAAGGAAATGGCAAACCACTCCAGTATCCTTGCCAAGAAAACCCAAATGGGTTTTTAAAGAGTAGGATACGACTAAAAAACAACTTCCTGATTTGAATCAGACCAGCAAAGGAAATTCAGGCTGAGTCTCACAGTCTAATCACCAACAACATCTTCTCCAACCTTTTCCTCACCATGACCTGATGAGGTTTTTTTGTTTTTTTTTTGCATTTTACAGATGAGAAAACTGAGAAAGACTCAGAGAAACAAAGTGAGGTGCTGATGATTATGCAGCTAAGGAAGCCTTTAAATCCAGACCACTCTCCTGACTCCAAGTTCACTGGGCTATTCACCACCCTCCCCTGCTCTCAAGTCACATCCTGCTCTTACAAAATGAATCTGTAAACAGAGATGGCACTTCTGTTGTCTGAATTTTCATGCCTCGTGCAATTGGTATTTATTTTTTCCCTACAAATTACAATCTGCATTGACATTATTAAAGCAATCATATGGGCCCAGCAGAAATGAAGAAGAAACACAATTGATTATGTTTATTGCTGTAGAAATCCTTTGCTGGTGGACTGGGCATAGACCCAATTTCATTTGTCTGTGATACTGCAAACGCAGCTAATTGCCTGTCTTGGTAAGGGAGAAAGACAAAGAAATAATAAAATATTTTTATTAAAAATTCTACTTGCATAAGACTTATGTGACTTTACCTTTTCTATGGTTTGCACATTTGTTTTAGATAACATCTATATTGCATTGGGCTTTATGAGGTCAGTTCTGTTTATCTGGGCTGTAGGAGCCCCTGCGTGGTGAGATATCTATTAAGTGTTAAACAGTCAACAGAAGGCAGTGTAGAAATAATGAGGATGCTGGAATTGATGACCATGTTCCTAATGCCAACTCTTACTACCTGGAGTAGAGTGTTCAGTTCTATACAGGTACCTGTGTGATGTTGGGCAAATCATCTAGTCAATCTGAACCTCAGTTTCCTCACTGTGAAATGGGAATAGTCATGCCTGTACTGCCTCTGCACAGGGCTGTTGTGAGCAAAGTGTTTAAAAAAGTCCGTGACCGAAAGAGCAACCAATGCTTCTGTGTTCATATGAGAAGGTGTTTTAAGGAGCACCGGTCCCTATCTCTTCTGCAAGATACTCCTTGCCGAGAGCAATTTCACTGCATAATTTGATTTTTTTTCTGCCTAGCTGCAGGTTAATCTATTATCCAAAGCAGCCTAGCTATACAGAGAATGAAGGAGTTGCTATGTTTTCTCTTTTGGCAGAGTATCTACCACTCTTACAAAACACTTTGGACTTACAGGATCAAAAGACTTAGACATGAAAGGGATCTGAGGGGTTAATTTAATCTAGAGGTCTGTGAACTTGGCTTAGAAAAATGTGGATAACTGTATTCCAGTATAATTGGATTCTTTTGTAATCCTTTGTATTTTATTTTACGCATTTAAAAACATCATTCTGTGAAAGGGTCCACAGGCTTCACCAGACTGCCAAAGGGGACCACAACATTAATGAGGTTTAGAATCTCTCCTCTACCCTAACTCCATCATTTTACAAAAGAAGAAGCTTGTCTGATTTGTTACCTTCCTCATATTCATCTCTTCTGTGTTTTCTCTTTGACCTGGTATTGACAGAAGCTAGGGTTGCTGTTGCAGAGCCAAATGTATGCATGGGAATATCAGGCAGTGATTTTTAGTTAATATCTTTAGGTCCTGAAACTTAGCCCCAATAGTTTAGGATAATGAGTTGTCACCCATCTCTTCTGGAATTGGTTTAATTGACTCTCAGGGTTCCTTGGTTACAGACGGAGAAAACTAGCTTCATATTGACTATTGCTGGCAAACAGAAGCCTGGATTGGCATTTTAGGCAGTACAGGGGAAATAACTGAGAGGGGAGTATGTCCCCTAATTCACCATCCCAATTTCTTTTTAAAAAAGAAAAATAATGCCTTTTTGTTTGACTTGCAGTCAATGCACACCATTTTACCATACAAAATCTGAAGGAGCAAATCACAGAGGCAATTCATGGATGTATAAACAAGCAAAACTGAGAGAAATGATACCTTTATGAGATATGAGGGGAAAACAAAATGGGGCTCTTTGTAGGACTGAGTTACACATATAGATTGTGTGTGAGGGACAACAAAGTGAATGTAAGCAAGGGATGCAGGTTTAAGGCCAGAAGACCACCTCCACCTTGTAAAGCATACTTCCTTCCCAGGAATACTGGCTCTTCAGGCTAATGTCCATAGAGGCATGTTTAGTATCAAATAGCTGTGAATTGTTGGAATGGTCAGGACTTAAGCCTTCCAGAGACTAGGGTACCAACCAGAAGAACTCCTAGATTATCTGCCTGCCCATCATATGTATCACACGGGAGACTCCTTTTCAAGTCCGAGCCTGATGACCCATAATCATGTGGCTTCTGATTCCATGTCAACAGAGTACATACTCTAAATGGTTCTACCATGTTAGAACACATTGAGTACTGGCCCAGTAAGGGACCTATGGGTCTGTTGTTTGATGGTTAGCTAGCTAAGTTCATAGGATCATGGGATCATTAGGAGCATAGCAGAGATACACATCACCACAGGGTAAGCCATGGAGTGATGATTTATTTATTTATTTTTTCTTTTGGCTACAGTCATTCACATCTGCTTCTGTGGAGGGAGTGGCTACATTGACGTAATCCCAAATTCCTACAGTAATAATATACAAGTATGGAAACAGCCTTTTGTAATAGAAAAAACATCAGCCCTAGGATCAGGAGGCCTGAATTTTTTTTTTCTTGTTCTTGTTTTGGCTACTGGTGAAATCTCTTAACCTGTCTGGTCCTATTTCTTTATCTGTAATATGAAGGGATTAGGTTGGATAAGAATCATAATAATATTTATATGATGCTTTAAAGTTTGAAGAAGGCTTTCATATATTATGGGGTGATCAAGGTGAATGCCCATTAGGGGTAGAAATTCCCAGCATTCCTTCTCCTTGATCCTGTGTGGCATCCTATTCTCCACAGAAACCTCATAACTTATCCTTCCCTTTAGACTGGAAGGGCTAGCTCATTAATCAATACTTGACTCCAGTCAGTCAGGGCAGCTCCCCAGGAGATGGAGGAGGGCCATATACCTCCAGCAACACGTTATATGTACACTATCTCTCTTGAGTCTTACAACAACTCTGTAAAGTAAACCCTACCGATATTGTGATCTTTATTTCACAAGTGGGGAAACTGAGGCTGAGAGAAATTAAGCATCCAGCCCATAGTCACACATCCACTAAGTGTCAAAAACAGAATTTGAACCCAGATCTCACCATACTTTCAAGTCCTCTGTCTACAATGTCATGATACCTCAAAGTTCCAGCCCTAAAGTTTTATCATTTTATAAGAATGTTTTTCTAGATTTTAAAATCTGAGATAAGGGATTGCACATGTTTTCTACCTTTTTTTTTTTTTTAGCATTCTACCTTAAAACCTAGTACAGGGCCAGACACACAGATAAATACTTAACAAATACTTGTTGGCTTGATTTTCTTTAAGAGGCTGGGTGTATTCCATTAGCTCGTTAGGCACAAGGATAACTTTGTCACCCTCATTTTATGACCAGGATAACATTTTAAAAAATAGTTTCTCTAAGACACCCATGTTTTCTATATGGGGGTTGAGAAATAGGTCATAGTTTGGGCACATTTGACAATATTTAAATTACATTTTGAGAAGACAGTATGGCAAAGATTCAAAAGGCTGTAGTTACCCTCCTCTTACCCCTATAATTCTGTGTGAAATGAAGCAAGTTAATTAACCTTTCTTTTTGGGATTTCATGTCTCAGTATTTCCATAGAATATTTCATGGAATTGTGAATAATAATAAATAATAATTCTGAACCTGCTAAGATATAGGAATAAAGTGCAATAGGAAAAGAAGAACAGTATGAGTTATTTCAGTAGTTAAGATGCAAGCTATTTAAAATGGTCACTATGTCAGACTCACTTAAAGCTTAGTTGCTCTCTTTTTTATGTAAAGCTTTCATAGAAGGATTTATGACTCACAGGGAAAGTTCTGCCATAATATATGGCTGTGAGCCAAGGAAAACCATGGTTCTTGAAGAATCCAAACAGCTGATGATCCAAAGAGAAGTGGAAGGACACACGGTGGAGATGAGGAGGTAATTTGCATTAATCATTAGGCATTTCTTAATGCCCACTGTGTGGCAGCTACTGCACTAGATATGGTGGATACAAAGACATGAATGAAAAGAGCATGAAAATGAAAAAGAATGAAGAAGTCCCCCGTCCTCAAGGAGCTTATACTCTATTGGGGGAGATATTCCGTACATATATAGGCATATGCAAAACAAATGGAAGCAAGAAGTAGGTTAAAAGAGGTCACCCAGGAAATGGTCAAGTAGAGATAATGATGGACAACGCAAATGCTACATTAAAAGATACTAAATGAATCAGAGGAAGCCCCCTGTCCTCCATGGAGTGTTTACAAAAGGGATCACACAGTATTGGAAGTATGACTGAGGAGCAGTGTTACATAGCAAAGTTTAGAGCCAAAGGACCTGGATTTAAATCCTGGCCTGCCACTTACTGCCTTTGTGACCTTAGACTTCCCTAGGCTTTAGTTTCTTCATCTATAAGAAGAGGGAATTGGACTAGGAGACCTTTGAGGGCCCCTTCTGCGTCTAAGATTAGGACTACCAGGATCATTAGATTGTAAGCTCCTTGAGGGCAGGAATGGTCTTTTGCCTCTTTTTGTGTCCTCAGCATTTAGCACAAAGCCTGACACATAGCAGGCACTTAATCAATGTTTATTGATTGATTTATTGATTGACTATATGCTGCACTGGTGGGAGTGCCCACAGATGAGAGAGCCATCTACGGATGAATTTAAGGCCTTCCATCAGTTCGCCTCATGTTAGCAGACCTATAAAATGATGGGGTTGGACAAGAGGGCCTCTGAACATCCCCGCGAGGCCTAAATCTATGCCTCCTTTCCTCATTGCCTCAATGAATCACTTTTGCTGGCTTGCTTTTGTTCATTGTTCAACTGCCTACGAATAACCACCAAGGGAGAGCAGGGTGGATATTTTCAAATGCTATCAATAAACAAGAAAAAAATGTGGTGACCCATAAAAGCATGAAAGAGAAGGAAAGATCACACCCCCAAAGATCTATAAATACCTGCTGAATAAGAGCTCAACTATGTACCACTGTGGGAAAAGGCTGGTCAGCTTGGAGACAATGTAGCCTTTGATTACCATACAGATAAATAAAGAGAACTCAAATTAGTCACTCATCAGAAGCTGATTTGTTGGTACAATGTAAGAAGAACCAGGAAAACTATAGGCTAATAACAACAAAAGAAGGGCTGCAGTGACAGTTCAAGTGATATTTTTTTTTCTCTAGGCTTAGGGAATGTACAATTTGCTGGAGCAGAGGTAAAAATCAGGAGAGGAACTGGACTCTATTATGACTATAAATTTCTGCAAAAATCGGGTCCCTGTGAAGATGCAATTTGTATGTGATGTTCAGCTGAACCAGTTTCTACAGGGACGGGAATGTAAGAGTCCTGGGGTTAGGTGTTGTCAGGGAAACATGATTGACTTTCCCCT